AAGCACCTTGGTTCAATGATTCACGATGGAGGGGCCATGAATGCTGAGCTGATGCATCGGCACAGGTCTCAGCTGAGCATCTTGGGTGGCCGTCGGGGGGCCGTCTTCAAGAAAAACAGCGATCTGGAGCTAGGTCCCAAGTTTAAGTTCGCCGCTGCCTTTTGCCACAGTCGCGTTATGTTCCATGGTGCTGTCTGGGCGCCGCTGTCTGCCAGCAAACAGTCCTTTCTCGAGTCTGCTTACCTGACATCACTGCGTGCTGCCATGGGGTATAAGGTGCAGGGGAACGAGTTTTGTGCATGGTCTAAGGACGAAGTACATGTTGCCAGTAAGCGTTTGTCTCCTCTTACGGTGCTCAGGCTCAGGCGTTTGAGGTTTCTCCAGAGGCTCGCAGGCTTTGCTTCCAACGGTTTGCTTTTCATGCTTGATTGTATGATTGATGCGAAAGGGAGTTGGACGGAGCTTATGCAGGAGGATGTGTTGTGGATGTACGATCGCGTCTCGATCCCTGGACCTTGGAATCCCGTGGGTGGTTTCTCTTGGTGGGTGTCCGTGGCTCGGAGTGATGCGAAACAATGGATCTCTTGGTGCAGGGAGGCCGAGCGCAGTGCACAGGCCGAGGAGCTTGCACTGGCGGAGGTCGGCACATGGCGAGCGGAGCTTTATAAGATTAAGAGGGGCAAGCTCAAGCCCCCAGTCATTGTGCGACCGCCAGCCTCGGATGTCGTGTACCCATGTAGAGAGTGCGACCAGATTTTTAGTACGAAGGCGTCATGGTCACGCCACCGTACCATGGTGCATCCACAATTTGATGTGGCTGGCTCCGTAGCCGTCGGAGCATGTTGCCAGGCTTGCGGATTTAACTGGCACTCGCGTGGGCGGCTCTTGAGGCATCTTCGGTTCGGTTCCAAAACTTGCCTGCCCACGCTTGTGCACTTTCTCAAGCCCCTGAGCGTGCCGGAGATTATCGACCTTCGGACCGCCGATGCTAAAGAGGCGCAGGCCTTGAAAGCAAAAGGGAGCGTGCAGCTGGCAGCCGTGTATCCGCCAGAAAGGGTCGTGGGACCGACTCTGGGCGGTGAGATTCCGGACATTGTCGTGCGAGCCAGCACGCAGGGGATCGAGAGGCCTTGCGATGATGATGAGGACTCCGCCCCTGCGTTCGCCCGTTGCCCAACAGAAACTCGTTTTGTTCTTCATTTTTTTAGTGGACAGCGCCGCGCTGGCGACGTCCAGATGCACATTGAGGCCTTACAAAAACAAACCAGGCTTCCAGTAGTGATGTTGTCCATAGACGTTGCTAATGACAAGGTTGCCGGTGATGTAACGGTTCAGAGTTCTGTCACTGTTTTCCTGAATGCTTTGGACTAAGCAGGCTGTGGTGGTGATTGGTGGGCCTCCGTGTGAGACGTGGTGCCAAGGCCGCACCAATCCCCCCCCGAACGGGGGGATCATCCCCAAGGTGCTCCGCTCGTCCGCTTGGCTTTGGGGGCTCCCTTGCCGTAATAAGCGTGAGTGGCGCCAAATTATGTTGGGCAACCATTTGCTGCAAACTATTTTACAAGCAGCTTATGTTTGTTGTGCCGTCGGGTCGTCGTGTATCATCGAGCATCCAGCCGAACCCGAGCGTTTGCATTTGCCGTCGATTTGGAGGCTTCCTGAAGTGAAAGCCCTGCTGGGCTTCAGGCCTCGTGCGCATAAGACTTTCATAAAATTCGGCCAGTGTTGTTGTGGGGCCAAGTCGAGGAAGCCAACAACGTTGTTGGCCATAAACGTCCCCAGTTTGAACGGTTTTATCCAGATGTTGCCTGGCCAGGGACGGTGTGTGTGTGTGTGCAGCTCGCATGCGTTGGAGCTCGTGGGGACACACGAGTCAGGCGAATTCAAGACGTCGGCTGCGAAGCAGTATCCGTCGGACATGTCGCGTATGTTGGCCCGTTCAGTGATGTGCTCGATTACAGGTCTCGAGTGTGTGCAGGATTTCCCAGATGTGTGTGAGGAATTGGCCAGATTTTATGTTCCTTGTGACCCGTACTGCAGCGCCCACGGGTGGGGGAAATATGCACCCGACCTACAACGGCAAGGGTGAAGCCAGCTTCTCTTTCGTCCTCCTCCTCCTCCTCCTCTTCCTCTTGTGTGCATGTTCGCCAGTGCAGCAGCATGCTTCCGTCGGTGGATGAAGAAGAAGGAGGAGGAGGAGGGAGGAGGAGGAGGAGGAGGAGGAAAAGGGGGGGCGGAGGCCGCATAGGGAGGGGGGGAGAGGCCGCGAGGGCTGGAGGGAGCAAGTTCCCCCCCCCCCCCCGGGTTCGTGGATAGTCCAGGATGTAATTGCTCTTTCCTATTCCAGATCTTCCCCAGCGGGTGGTGGTGGCCGCAAACAGGGGCCTGTCGCAGTTGTGCACGCGTTGGCGCCGTCGCTTTCAAGAAGGCCGCAGGAGGCCAGTCGTTATGGCGGTGGGGGCAGGTGGGCGTGATGGCGGCGCTGATTTTGGCTCGGTGGCCAGCAGTTCCAGCTGCGGCAGACTCGCTGGACATGCTGAGGATCCTGGTTATCCTCCGGTTATTTTTGTTTATCCCCCTCACATTCCCCGAAGGGTTTTCCACAACGGCTAAGGCAACACATAGTCCGATAGCTTGACCTAGCTCAAGCAACAACGTTCGGCAGCATAAGCGCCGGTGATTCGCCGTAGGCGTCTTCGATTCCCCCTCCCGAATTCCAAATGTTCGGTTCAACGTGGCGCCACGGTGGGTTCCGACATTCTCCTGGAACTTCCAAGAGGACCTTCCGAGAATCCGCAACAGCCCAACATGCCCCTAATATATCCTCAACTTGCCCACATGATGGCCCGCTCCAGATGAGCGGCGAAAAGAAGCGGGTCTTACGCGAGATGACACAGCGACCTTTCGCGGGGACTTACGCGGGCCGCCAAAGCGGCATCAGCATTAAAAACTAGGGCGCTTACGCGCGACGTTGCGCGGGCTACTTGCGCGCGAGTGTCTGGGCATTCGAACTGCGTCGCTTCAATGAGCCCGAGACGGCCCGATAAGGCCCAACGACAGATGGTAGGTTATGCGGGCGTCGAAGCCTCCTCAACGTACCATGACCCTGCACCCCAACATAATGATTCCGACGAGTTCCCCCACCGGCACGGACATGCCCTCCAGAACGGCCAACCGTCCCATGAGCCCTCCACCTGGGAGCCACAGTCGTGCGAAATACGTCCCCCCGCCTGTCGCTGTGACGTTGCCCCCTGCTGCACCAGCCCTGAGATCCACATGCTGGAACTTAGACCCGACGAGAAGGCCATCCCGACGAGCAGCTCTGAGATCACCCGAGCCACAGAGACCACAGCACAGCGCTGGTGCCTCGCCTCCAGCTCTTGCTCCCCCTGCGCCGCCCCAGGCACCCCCCATCCGCTGCCGAAGCGGGTCCGTCGGCCTGAGACGGACCCGGCGCAGGCGGGGGGAGGGGCTGGGGACAGTCAGGGGGGACACGTAATTATCTGTTCCACCTTTAGGGGAACAAAACGTCACATAAACATACAACTCGGAGGTCCGCGCGGATTTCTCGGATCGGCGCCGGAGGCGCCGCCGGGGGGGCCCCAGCGCCGATCCGAGAAATCCGCGCGGACCTCCGAGTTGTTATGTGTATGCCAATGTTTGTTCCCCTAACCTTGGGCACGCACGCCGCCGACGAAAAGGTATATGCTTAGGTCGGGCATCTCCTCCTGCAGGCGAGGCGGATGCTGGAAGACAAGCAAAAAGTCAAGACACAGCCGAGCGCACGCAAAGGAAGCCACGAGACATCGCCCCCAGACTATTTTTCTACGACTCTTGCATCTTCCTCCTGTCGAGGGACATGCCCGACTTCGGTGTGTGCCTGAGGTGGTTCCGCGGCGTGGCCGGCG